CTTCAAGGGAAACGTCAAGCTCAACTCATATCATTGTGGGAAAATTCTACTACCAGTCCTTCATCACCTTAGACGAAATAGAGTGAATACATCTCATATTAATTAAATTCTGCCGGCAATTTCGTGGACAAAATATCCGCTATTTAGTTAATAGTATTTTACAAATGAGTAGATGTCAACACTATCTGTAAACTTTGTATAAGAATTCACATGTAAGATAATGCAAAGATTGTTAGTTGAATTTCCCCCAATAAAATAAATGGGCCTCGCCCGGGTCACATCAACAACCACAAGATAATGTAAAATTATGTCGAATGCTTTGAACGATAACGCCACCTCCACCACACAGCACCAGGTGCCAGTAGATCACAAGGTAAACTAGGCCACTTCCAAGTCCCATAAACTTTAGGACTAGTCTCATTAAGGCATACATGTATTTTTCGTTTCATTGTACGGCAGTCCTTTATACTGAGTGACTAGGCTTCTTATTTAAGAATTACGGATTGTTTCGTTCAGTATCTGAAACAGATGTAGATTGTCATGGCAAATATGCAACAGCTTAATTAAAAATGTGATTTTAGAGAGACCTGGCTTGCTTTGAATGTTAGGGATCCACTTGTACAATTGTGGAATTCTAAATTGACGCAAATGACCCGAATTTGCATCATTTTGAGTTGCTTACAAGACTCTGGAGAGATTGGGACTACCGTCCAACCTGGATAAGAAAAACTTCTAATAGGCGAGGCTTGACGAAATTCCATGTTGAGGTGAGGTCTGCCAAATCCATTGCAGGAACTTCAACTATCCTTAAATACCTCAATTAAAACGAAATATAGGGACTAGAATTGTGACAATCTTATCAGTTCTTTGACCGAAAAACTGTTTTTATAGAACCAAACAAGTTTAAAGAAGATTCGTTATAATTTAAACAACATGTTGGTTACGTTTGAGCTGTCCAACTAAGTTTGGTGATGGCGATGGTCCCCATTAAAAAGCCCTTGCATATAACCAGAATCATTAGTTACCCTCGTCTTGGTGTTAAAATAGGGCTTCTCTTGAATCGAACTATGCCGTACGTTGTTTGGCTGTTGCATCATGTTTCAGGATGTCCTTTGGATCGGAAATGTCATCTGCAATCTAAAGTAAATGAATAGAAGAATTCGTTCAAATCCCTAGGGTTCGCGATTCAATTGCACGAGGAAAAATCTGCCTTGTCTTTAACTAGCAATAAGGTTTACTGTAATTGTTTGATCTTGTTTTCGCAAATTTGTCATAATGGCAGGAAAATCTGAGGGAACGTAGCTTGAACGGAGTGCATACTACGCATGATAATTTCCAGAGTCGGATAGTAAACTTGGTACATTCCAAAACGTTTTGCCGGCATCGTCAGTGAGCCTTGCTATTCTTAGCACAACACAATAATTTGTTAGAGACAAGTGAAGAGTATCCTTTGACCAATTGTTTACTAAGCAGTTGTGGTAGATCTCCTTCCGTCCTGGGATATTCACTTATCC